GTGGGGTTCATGTCTCACAATTTTATTTCCATGGTTGTTTTTTATAAGTCTTGTGTCAATTTTTCTGTTTTCTTGTTTGTGTATGAGCGTGTCAGATTACATATGATATGTTTAGTCCATACTTGTGTTTGTATATGGGAATGTATGTACATTTATTACAGTGTGTCTGTCTATGTGTTGTGTATGTATGTTTTCTGATCAGTCTTGTGTCAGTTTTGCTGTGGAAATATGTGTTATTACGTGTGCTCTGCTGTGCTCCTGTGAGCCTGTTTGTGTGAACTCTTGTCTGTGTGTCTGTGAGCCCGTTTGTGTCAACTCTTGTCTGTGTGTCTGTGAGCCCGTTTGTGTCAACTCTTGTCTGTGTGTCTGTAAGGCTGTTTGTGTGAACTCTTGTCTGTGTGTCTGTGAGGCTGTTTGTGTCAACTCTTGTCTGTGTGTCTGTGAGGCTGTTTGTGTCAACTCTTGTCTGTGTGTCTGTGAGCCTGTGTGTGTCTGTGAGCCTGTTTGTGTCAACTCTTGTCTGTGTGTCTGTGAGCCTGTTTGTGTCAACTCTTGTCTATGTGTCTCTAGCCTGTTTGTGTCAACTCTTGTCTGTGTGTCTGTGGCGTATGCGTGGCTCTCTTTCATTCTCTTTCTCCCACTCTCTCTTGTTCAATCTGCCTACCTACCTACCTACCTACCTACCTACCTACCTACCTACTTACCTGCCTACCTACCTACCTACCTACTTACCTGCCTACCTACCTACCTACCTACCTACCTACCTACCTACCTACCTACCTACCTACCTACCTACTTACCTGCCTACCTGCCTACCTGCCTACCTACCTACCTACCTACTTACCTACCTACCTACCTACCTACTTACCCGCCTACCTACCTACCTACCTACCTACCTACCTACCTACCTACCTGCCTACCTACATACCTACCTACATACCTACCTACCTACATAGCTACCTACCTACTACCTACTTACCCGCCTACCTACCTACCTACCTACCTACCTACCTACCTACCTACCTGCCTACCTACATACCTACCTACATACCTACCTACCTACATAGCTACCTACCTACTACCTACTTACCCGCCTACCTACCTACCTACCTACCTACCTACCTACCTACCTACCTACCTACCTACCTACATACATAGCTACCTACCTACCTGCCTATCTCTGTGCATACATGTGTGTGCCGACACAAACTGTGTACGACCAAAGTCTAGTGGTCCAGCTGTCCAGTAGTATGTACCCCCACCCCTTCCCACCCCCTTGTGTATGCCACGTGAGATTCCTTGACCACTGTCCACGCCGTTCGAGTACATGGTGCTACTGACCATCATCGCCAACTGTATAGTCCTGGCCCTGGAGGAACACCTGCCCGAGATGGACAAAACACCTCTTGCCTTACAGCTGGTGAGTACATACATACAGCTGGTGAGTACATACAAACACCTCTTGCCTTACAGCTGATGAGTACATACATACAGCTGGTGAGTACATGCATACAGCTGGTGAGTACATACATACAGATGGTGAGTACATACAAACAGATGGTGAGTACATACTTACAGCTGATGAGTACATACTTACAGCTGGTGAGTACATACAAACACCTCTTGCCTTACAGCTGGTGAGTACATACAAACACCTCTTGCCTTACAGCGGGTGAGTGTTTCCGGACGCGCCACTGCGCATGTCCAGGGATGGTCTATGTTTGTGCATGTCTGGAACGGGTGGTGGTGGGGGATTTTGGGGTTTTTTTTGGGGGGATTTTTTTTGGGGGGGGGGGGGTTGAGGAGGGCAAAGTTGGGGTTGGTTGTAGGTGTAACAAGCACTTCCTATTTCTGTATCACCAATTTGTTGTTTCTGTCCTCTTGTCTTTCCTTTTCTTTATCACCAATTTGTTGTTTCTGTCTGCTTGTCTTTCCTTTTCTTTGGCACTAATGGACATTACTGTATCCAACTAGGTCTTTTTTCATTCCAATCGTCAAACAAACAAACAAACAAACGAACAAACAAATAAATGAACAAACAAACAGTCAAAGAAAAGTACACGAATGTGCCAGCTAAGACCCCTCTGGTTGGAAAGTAACTGGCACAGTCACTTGTAGACTCTGTATTTCTCTGAATGTTTGAACTGTACCAATACTTAATATCAAATATTATAGTTGACTACTTACACCTAGATTTACATTATTAGGAGATGCAAATTACTTTTAACCCTTGAGTAATTGAAATATTTTGAATAAAAGAATGCTTGAAATGTTTAATTTAGCGACTTTTAACAATTAAGCCAGCATACCTGAATCATAAGAGAAGACTGATTACTCCGAATATTTTTTTTATTTATAGAAAGACTTTAAAATGAAATGAACGCTTTTACAATTTTCCAAATTTGAATGATTTTAACAATTACGCAACGATCAGATAATGTAATATGTTTTGTTTTCTCTTTCTCTTCCGCAGGACGACACAGAAGTGTACTTTTTAGGAATATTCTGCGTGGAAGCTTTTCTCAAGATTGTAGCGTTAGGCTTTTGTCTACACAAAGGTTCATATTTACGAAACGTGTGGAACATAATGGATTTTATAGTAGTAGTCACCGGGTGAGTAGTGACTTTGTCTCTTCCTTATTGGTGTGCTTGTTTCTGATGTCGTGTGTGGATCCTAGCTTTCAACGAGGGTGTGGGTGGTTGGTGTGTGCTCTGGTGTGGTTTGTTCCTTCTTTCTTATGGAACATCTATCGTCCTCATCTCTCCTCCTTCTTTTTTGTGTTTGTTACTCTCTTGTAACACCTCTAATCTTCGGCACTTATATGACCTTATTGTGTTGCAAGTGCCGTAAAACTCAACAAGGGTTGTTGCACTGCAAACAGCCACAAGGAGAGACACACAGAATGTCCTGATGTGTCGCTCGTGACGTGCAGGGTCCAGGTCGCTTACGGCCAGACTGACACTCAAACAGACAAACAAACGACATGGATAGACAGGTCAAACAGCATAAGGCAAGTTTTCTCTTGGCTGCTTGCTAGGTAACCGACTGCCTTGTTTTTTAGTGGGGGGGTGTTCGGAAGATCACATCGTGATAACGAAGAGAGAAGGTCAATTTGATGATGTTGTTGTTTTGTGTGTGTGGAAGTAAAGAAAATAAGTTGTGTGTATTGTTTATGTTCTAGAGGACTCCCCAAGTTGGCACGTGGGTCAATGTAGAATGCGCCAGTGTACAAATGAGCTGCCCTAGGGGCAAAGGTCAGACCTGCCCTTTTCCTCACAAACCCGACCCTTCTTTTTCTGAGCGTCGAACCCTGACAGCTTCAACATTGCAGTACTAATCTTTTCTATATATTATTTTATAAATGTACAATGAACAATATGGTCGCTTTTAAGCACAAGGGGGCTAACCCGAAAAAATATTGTTTTGAGAATATCGAAGGTAAAGTTTCTGGGCCCTTGTTCAGTTTCTTTAAACGACAAGGAGAGTTTTCTCTATAACCAAACAAATATACACACCAATGAAACCAAACTTCTCCTATAGGTAGGGCAATGCCCACTTTTGGTGTAGGTCAAGATTTCTGGAAACCCTCGAAATCTGGGTTAGCCCTTTTGTCCTTAAAAGCGACCTTATAATAATGCATATTATATTATGTTTGTATTACTGTATACAAAGAGTGCTAAAGTTACTTCCTGTGATAACGGGATGAGAAAAACAGATCAAGATGGAGTCACATTTTTTTCTGTTGCGGTATTGTTCACATCGGCGTCTGTGTGTGGTGTAGCTCTGAAGAACTCTGTCGTCACTGCACGCTGGAGACCCGAGTTCCATTCCCGAATGGGGAGAAGTTTTATCAAGTATCTGGGTCGGTCTGTCTGCTGGGATGTTGCATTCCTTTCATCCCGGGTCTGTCTGATGGGATGTTGTATCCTTCTTACAACGGGCTGGTCCTGACAGTTAGGGTCGAAGTCCTCCTCTCCAATTATATAAATGGTGTTGATAAACACCACACATAATCAATATCCCTTCTATATGTTCGAGAGTATATATAAATATATGTATATATATA